CATTAGATTCAGTAAGTTATAAATATATATCACTCTATATCTATATATATATCTTCCTATATGTATGTATATATAAAAACAACTGACGGGGTTGATGGTAAATTCCCTGTTTAGTCGAATACTGAAGTTATTTCCTTGTTTATGAAGCACTCTGTGACGGTAGAGTAGTTTTTATTGCACAAGGAGATATTGTTCAAAGATTGACTCTTTTTTTTTCTCACATTTTCATCAGTTTATTGCCACAAACTGAGTATATTTTGTTTATGTTTTTCTGTCATTTTAACTAAATGTGATAATAAATCAGTCCTTCTGTTGTGACAAGTTCCCATCCAGTTCCCAGAAGAACATCTTCCTCCTTGGTTTTACGATCTTTGCCCCTCCCCAGCTAATTATGGACTGACAGAGTTCTTGTTTTTGGGGCTTTTTGCAGTGATTTGATGGTCTAGTGAGCTGAAACCAATGTGTTGAATCATGCTACAAACTATCCGTGCATTAAGGATCTGGGGATGTAATATAGTTTTCAGAATGAACAAACACATTGACACTGTCTACAGGAAAAAGGCAGGCACTGTATTTTCCTCTCTCTCTCTCTGTTCTGTTATTAAAAAGTCTCATGAACCAATGGATGGATTTTAGTGAAACTCCCAAAAAGTAACAATTTAATTTACATACAACTTCCACAGTCAACAAGATTCAAGATGGCTGCCACAGCCAGTCGACCTTAGCAAACACTGTAGCAGCAAGTAGCTTTACTTTAGTCGATTTCATTCATTTCCTCACGACTTTAGCACTAACTGATGGAGTCAACTCTGTCTGTTAGCAGAATATCTAATGAACTACTGGTCAGATTTTAATGGAAACTCTTTGGGATGTACGTCTACAACTGATTAACGTTGGAGTAAGCATGATTTACTTTGTAGTTAATTTTACTGATGGTGAGCTACAATTTGACAAGGCGATAGCTGACAATCAGTCCTAATGCATACTCTGAGTACTAACAGTGTGCATGAGATCTCACGATTGCTTGAGATTATGCAAACCATCGTTTTCAAGCTTTAACCAAAACAGCTAAAACTCCTCCAGTTTGCAACAGAAGATAATCTTGGTCTAACACTGGGCAATATGCATCCCTACGAAGGATGCTGTACACAGCTTTATGTCAAATCATGAAATAAATGAATACGAATGAAACACTTATTTTGAGGTGACGAAGGTGAAAGTGTGACAGAGAGAAGTTCTCCGCAGACCGAGGAGGAGATCACTGGTGGGGAGCACACTATCATGTCTGTGTTCGAGGCTGAAAGGGATGATTCAGTTTCTGCTTGATGCAGGAGCGAGCAGCGAAGTGCAGAGCTGCATATAGATTTCTCTGCCGTCTGAGGCGCCCTTGTTGTGTTCTCCGCTTTTCCTGACACACCTCAGTCAGATTCTGCGAGTCGCACTAACCGAGACTTAATGATGTCTCCGTGGCTTGGAGTTCAAGGGGTGTTTTACAATGACTGCTTCCACACAAAGGACCGTAATGATGCACTTATGGTGTCCCTGCTCGCCCGTTACATGTTTCACTCTGCTGATTAACTTTGGCAAACAGAAATTATCCAAAACACTTCATTCCTCTTTTTAATAGTTGTGAATCTGAGCTGCACACTTGCATATATATTTTATTACCACACTGTTTTCTTTCTTCATCCACATTTTAGATTGTCCTAACGGACCATCATGTCTGCTTGTAATGTCTACAAACTCCATCCATCTCCCTCGGATTTGGAGAAGTCTCTGTTTGTAACAAGTGTCCGACTGCTTATTGACTAAGAGCAAGATTCCCCTGATGGAAACCAGGAATAGCTTCACTCACTACGTTCTGCTATCAACTGCAATACCTCACATGAAACCGAATCTGCTGCGGGTTGCTTTCGAAGCGCTTCTTGTGGCGAGGGTAATGAAGCGGTTGAGACATGCTACCATGTTTCTCTTTATGCCTCAATAAGTTTAGGGAAGGAACTGGCCCAAAACTAGATTACCACTATAATAAACATATTCTGGCTTTTTAGTTATTGATTCTGAAGTTTTTGATCGTGGAGTACATTCACACTGGCTAAAAAAATAAGACTTAAAATATTCTTACTGACTGTGATGACAGCAGGCCTGTTTAAATGCTTTACACATGTTCATTGACTTTAAATCCTTTTTATTGCACGTGCTAAAAGCTGTGTACCAAAAATTTAAATCAAAAGTAAAAACATTTCTACCAAAAAATGTTTGTCAGAAAGCCTTTGCTATTTTTATTATTAGTAGTGCACAACTGAGCAGGGGGTTACAAATGTATTTGTTTAATACAGAGCCCTGTTTTGTATCATTTGCTGCCATGAAAGTCGGGCGATAATGTAATTGTCTTTGCGCTTATATGTGTGTGTGGTCAACAAATTTTACCGACTTCTTTCAGAAAGTAATCACTGGATGTACAACTGAACAACTCTCAAGTCAATCTGATTCAAGATGGCCACTACAGTTCGTCAATCTGTCTTTTAAAAACAAACATGCTATAACAAAGCCGATTATACAAATATTGAGCTATAAGTTGGTGTGGTAGTAGCTGAGAGTCATTCCCGTCTTATACTTCAAGGGCAAACAGATTTCAGAAGATTTTTGTTTAAAAGTTTTGCAAGGCTGCCAACGTTGTGCCCTTCTTCAGTGAATGCTAGCGTTAATTATTTAAATTTACAGGAGTGTCATTTGCTCAGTTGTGAAGGGATCTCCAACTACTTACACATATAGACCTTAATATGTTGTTATTTCTCTATTCTACTCAAAGTTGTTGCTTGTGTCGTGTGAAACCCCTCATTCCTTTGATATATATATATATATGTGTGTGTGTTTATTATTGCATTATTCAACTGGGGATGCTGCCATTATTTTACTGGTGCAATGCATTCTGGGTTGATGACGTAGCCTGCATCAGTTGTCGTGGAGACAAAAACCCAAGGAGTCAAAGCTAAAAAGTTAAACGTGATAATAAAATATTATTTTGTATCCGTCCTTATACAAAACATATTGGATGAAACAATCAAACATGATCAACTTGCAATGTTGAATTTATTCGCTAAAATGGATGCCACCTGCATCATGAAGGACCCCACTCACCCAGCACACACAATTTTTGCCCCGCTCTTTTCAGGAAGGAGGTTGAGGAGCATTAAGTGTAGAACCACTAGAAAAAAAAAAAAAACAAAAAAAAACACTAGACTGAGGAACAGCTTCTACCCTGAGGCTGTTAAGACTCATGGATATCTAACCAGAATAATCACTGTGAAAAATCACATCATGTTGCTGCTGATCTGTTTCAATGTTGCTGCTGATCATATTCATGTTGCTGTGTTCATTTGTGCTCATCTGCTCACTCAGACTCATGTTCGTGCTGCTGTTCGGCGTATTGTTTTTATGCTATTAGTGCTTAACGTATTTTTAGTTGATGTTTTTCATACCTTAGATCTTATTACTGTTTTTCTTTTACATTTTATTGTTGGATGTAACTGGGACCCTGAGTACACAATCTTGCTCCACCACATGTACCACATGTGGCGCGAATGACAATAAAGAAACTCTGACTCTGACTAACGCTATTAGCTCTGAAGCTAACACCAAGCTAACACCGTAGGCCTAAATATCAAGTCAGGAGCTAACGCAAAATTTGTGTAATTTCTCCATATTTTACTCTGTTAACACACATTCAAGCTGAATGAAGCTTGCTCTACAGCAACTAGTCTACATCATTTACCCAGAATTCATTGCAGTGTAAATAAATCTGCAACGTCCGTGTGTCATTAATTAAAAAAAAAAAAAGTGAAAACTAAAGTCTACATTGTTTTTATAGCTGCAGTAATTGTTTGTAAAATAATGTCTATGGTTCCAACCAGAGTCCAACAAGTTGGAGAGCCATTTAAAGGCAGAAGTGGAAATAAAATGATGAACGAATGAATGAATGAACACAGAAAGACCAATGCCACGTGATGTTTTTGTTTTTCGCCTCTTTTTGTGTTCAGATGTGTTTGCTGGTCATCAGGAATCTTACTCCCCTAAAGCAACGCAGTATATTAATACCTGACATGAATACTGAATTATACTATTGATTCAGCTTTAATGAAAAAACTCAAAACAATTTTCTTGAATCTAACCAAGAAACAAGTTTTATGTATCATTCACCAATCAGCTCAGTATTCAGTGTAATCTTAATCCATGCAGTTTGCCTATAAAACACTAATCTGATGCTGTTTTCTCCTCACAGATCTTGGCTGAGAATCTGAGGAGTCCGTCGCGTGAGTATGGAGGCTGACCGGACGAGGCTTTCTGTTTTCCCCTGAGGTCCCAGATTGTCATTTGTCAACAAAGGAGAACCCTGAAATCAAAGAGCTCACCCTCTGGCCTTCCTCTCAAGGTGCCTGGAGCTGTGAGACGAGCGTGACCCTTCAAGGAAAACAAACTGCATTAAAGCGGAATTTAAAAACAAAAGACTCTTCATGAATTTCTACAAAAACCTAAAAGGCAACTAGAGCGAGCTGACAGGTGGAGGCATGTGGACGATGAGTATGGCTTGGCTCTGTCTCCCAGCCTACGCTCTCCTCCTTGTTGCCTATTCTCATACAGCTGTCACAGAAAATGACGTCACCCCTCGCCTCACCTTCTCCTACAGTAAGTCTCTTCCTTATGACCTTTACTTCTGGTATTAAGGATTTATCTAGCGTCCCGTGTCGTTTTCAAGAAGCAAGAGTGCAGATTCATCAAGCCATCATTTCTCATTTTTCCAGCCTGCGTCGAGCTTCGAAGGCGCCTGAGGCTCCAGCTGTGGTTTTATTAGATCCTTTTGCATGAACTGCAGAGCAGCTGTCAGTCAAAAGTATTTTTTTAAGCGTCCTCTTTTTGCTACTTTAAAGCTTGCCCGAGGTAAAACTTCATCCACCTCTGAACTTTTCAAGAGTTAGCAGCAGCAGCTTTCTTCTCCGTGCAGTCATTGCAGAAAATCCACATGTTGCACGTGCGCTTGCTGTTAGCGCCATAATGGTGCTGATGAGTTGGTTTTATATAAATCCACTGTTGCATCAGAGTGGCTCTGTTCGGATCATCCAGGTCAGACGTAATAATCGCAAAATGCACAGACTTGTTTTGTTGTCAGGCAGCCGGACAAACTCTCACAGGCACTCCGAGAGTTATTGCTCTTATATAATAATGTGCCTTTTTCATGCATCTGCTTGCAAAACAACTCAGAGCTTGGAATCAGATGTTGGAGCAAAATTGATTGTACATCTTTGCAGCATGATTTACTGTATGTTCCCTGCGCAGGTCATCAGAAGCAGATAGTCATTTGATTGAATTAATTGTAGTGCTCTACCAGCGCACTTGATAAATTTGGATGTAAACATCTGATGGGATTTAGCATCTCCATGGAAATGAAACACAATGAGAGATTAAGGACTCAGCCGAGGCTTTCAGCAGTTCAACGGACTCGCGGTCAGGCATCATTAGAGTCATGTCAGGGAGGATTTTGTTGACAGATTTCTTTGAGCAATCCCTGTTTTTTTTTTTTTTTAATTATTCCAAGGGATTCTTGTTTTCGGTTCGAGGCTGGTTTGTGTCACGGTTGAGCCGTGCGGCCTGTCTGAGCTTGCACCTTCTCGGATGTTGGACTATTCTTTTTTTTTTCTTTTTTTTTATACCCCAAACATATAATCTCTCTCACCTCCCAGCTTCAGCAGAGCTCTTAGCGTGGCTCTGCTCGAGCGTTTCACAACAACACACATCATCAATCACTCACTGAGTACACACTTCTCTGTTCTGCTGTAAAAGGTTTGCTTTTAGGGCGTGCAGCTAGCGTTAAACTCCGCCACAAAACAGGTATGAATCATATGCCAGTAGCTTTTGTTATATAAACTAAAGCATGCATGCCATCCGTGTTGCTTCTCCATCTTGTGTCATTTTTTGTAAGATTAGTGAAGAACAGATATTTAACCTGCTTTTTGGAGCCTTTGTGCTGCTCTGACTCTAACCCCTGATGTTTTGCAGGAGATAATAAACCTGATGTGGTCAATCTCACACATACAGTTGAGCAGGTTGTTGGTTTGTTAACTTTTCTAAAGTTTTAGTTTTATATTATGAAGCTAAAGTTCATATGTTTTGAAATGGGATTCTGTGGAAAAGTTATGAACACAACTGCATTTTGCATGTTGTAAATTGTTCTTTGAACAATCTCAGCAATAAAAAAGTAGATTATTTGTTCCCGGGTTGACGAGTTAGTGGGTCTGAGTGGCTCCAAACCCAAAATGGACTAAAATGTTTAGAATATATGTGACAAACTCAAGGCCCCCTGGCCAGACGTGGCCTTTCTTACCATTTTTTCTGGCCTGGATGATATGATTTAAACTGAACTGTGTGTAATTGTGATGACCGCATTAAAACTGGCCTGCCGGTCTGTGATCGATCAGATTTCTGTCGCTTCTTGTTTTGCTTAAAAGCCTTTTCTTGCAGTTAGCTAACTATGAACCCAAGAATATTAGGTTTGAATTTTTCAGTGACATTTGATTTTGAGATCAGCAGAAGACCGGAGCAACAAAGAACACGTGAATGAGACGTATCCAGAACTTGTTAAGAGCAGAGTTAGCTTTAACCTCAGCTCATGTGCATCAGCTGAGTCTACTTTACTGTTTTAATTAATTAATTTATTTGTATTCTTGCTGTATTTTAATGTAAAATATTAGTAGATGTATGTTTGGCGTTTTATCTGAAGTTTCCTTTAGAGCAGTGGTTCCTAACACTGGTCCTTGAGGAACGCCATCCTGCATGTTTTAGTTGTTTCCCTGCTCCAACACACCCGATTCAGTGATTTAATTACTTCCTCAAGTTCTGCAGAAGGCTGTTAATCACCCATTTATTAAAAGCAGGTGTGTTGGAGCAGAGAAACAACTAAAACATGCAGGATGGCGTTCCTCAAGGACCAGGGTTGGGAGCCACTGCTTTAGAGGATATGACAGATTGTGATGACACTTATTAAATTTTGGAGCCTCTAAGTTTGACGCCCGTGGTCTAAAACAACTCAAATCTCCAAAGACATGAAGCAGTTCAATCAGTTGCTGTTTTATCCACGTTTGCATCAAGTTACCGTTAATTATTACATAGAATTTTATCTTCAAACTTAAATAGAAACAGCAGATAAATGCAACGTGTCTGTTGCAGCCTGAGGCGTTTCAAGCAGGAATATTTATTATTTATTAACCTTTCTTTAACCAGGTAAATCCCATTGAGATCTCAGATCGTTTTTGCAAGGGAGGCCTGGACCTGAAGGCAGCCTAACATGCATGTTTTTGGTCTGTGGGAGGAAACCAGAGTACCCGGAGAAAACCCACACAAGCACGAGAAGAACATGCAAACTCCACACAGAAAGACCCCAGGTCCAACCGGAGATCGAACCCTGGACCTTCTTGCTGTGAGGCAACAGTGCTAACCACTGAGCTGTCGTGCTGCCTAAATTTTAAAATATTGTAAAATTTCTACAGTAAAATCTTTGCTATATGAAGTTAACCACTTTATAAATGTTTACAATGAAACATTAGCGCGTATCTCTTAGAAAATCACTAGATTGAAGTTATTTCACAATCTTTGGTTTAGAGTCTAGACCCTGCATTTGAAACATTTATCTACAACGGGTGAGATATTTATTGTTCACAACCTTTTCACAGAACTCCACTTCAAGAGATTGGAACTTTAAGAGCCCCAGAATGTGAAGAATGCGTGCACAGACGGGTGACCTTAGTGTTGTTTTTGACTGTAAGTTGAGGTACATTTTGAGTTTCCATCAGCTGATGGAGGTCAGCAGAGCCCAGTGGTTTCCCTGCTGTGGTCACATCAGTTCTGCTACGCTGACATTTTCCAGCCTCACGCAGAAAAACTTTGTCACATTGTGTACACAGCATTAAAACAAAATGCAGAACTACAACCCCCCCAGAGACACGACCTTTGTACAGCAGAGGCCGTCTTGTCTTGTTGTGGTTTCCAGCACCCTCGGTCCCGTCTGAATGCCAGTTAATGTGACGGTTGAAACTTTTGCAGCGTATGCAGGTCAAAGCTCCGGCTGGCTGGTCTTCATCCGGCTACATTCTCGCAGACAAACTTCCCCTCCTCTTTCCTTTCGGTCCTCTGGTCCCTGCCTTAATGAAGAGGGTAATCTGCCATGAATAATGAACGGGGACTTGCATGTGTTGTGGTGTGAACACTTCTCATTATGCACCTCTCAGGGCGGATCATGGGTTCAGGGAGTAAAGCCTGCATCAGCCTTTCTATCAGCTTTTTGTTAAAAGTTGAACGCAGACTGTTCTGAACGACTTTCCATGTGGGAACACTTTTAAAGGCGCACCTATATCCCGTTGATCTCTTCAGCCACACAAGGAGAAAAAGTTTTTTTTTTTTATTTAAACGTTAACGTGTCCACATCCGTTGAATCTGCTGCCCTGAAGAAATTCAAAACAACAAAAATGTCAAGTGATATAACATTTTAAATAAAAGAGCTCATCAGTTTGCTTAAATTACAAATCTGGGAAAATTGAGTAAGAAACAAAACAGTAAATGTTGTGAAAATGTAGTTTTTTTTTTTTTATGGTATGATGCAGCAAATGGCTTGTTTTAGTGTAAGAACTGTGACAAATGGCACAACTTGTGCCCAGAATCTGTCTTCAAATGGTAATGATTTATTGTAAATAAGGAATGTTAAGCAAAAACGACATAAATGACTTGATTTTAGTGTTGAGATTTGTTTGAATCTTTCTTTTTTAGTCAGCTAATTAACTGTAGCTGGGCTTAATTCAGTTTTACAAAGCTTCCTTCTTCTAGCAGTGTCTGCAAAGTTTAGTGCAAATTGAATTATTGTCTCTCAGAGAGGACTCTGTTCCTGACCTGCCTGCAACATCTTTTTAAATCGTTTCTGCCTTTTCTCCATGTCATGACCATAAAACATTTTAAACCATGACTGCCTGAAGGGGGATGTTTGAAACTCCTCAAACAGTCAGGTTGAAAAAAAAAATCTACATTTTCCTTATAGCCATCTTCTTTTAGCAATCCATCTACTTTGCTCCTGCTAACAATTATAACTTATATAATAAAAGTCATAAATGTGAAGTTGCAGTTTGTGAGTGCTCACATCAAAGTAGTGTCTAACATGGTTAAAGTTATTCATGTTCATCAAAGGCAGTTTGAAAGATACTGAGCTAAAATTGTTGCTGTGGTAGTAGCTGAGGGTCATCCACTTTGTGCCATGAAAGGTGATGAGTGAAACGCATTTCTTCAAGGAATGTTAAGCTTCAAGATTATTCAGCATTTGTTGCTCCCTACATGAATGAAACCTGCTTTGTCAGCATTTCTCATGAGAAAACAACCATCCTGAGCTGAAATACTCCACTGTTGTTTTTTACAGCTTACAGGAGGAACGTGCTGTAAAATGTTTACAGACTAACTGAACTTCCTGGTGCTCCACACCGTCCCACTATAAAACTACACCACAGAAGCTCGTTAAGGCTCGTCCCTGCTGTTTGAGCTATTCGCCGTGATCACTCGGACTCTCCAGCCTTCCTGAAGTCGTATCAGAGCGAGCACAAACCTCGTGCTAACAGTTTAGCAACACAAACAGCAGGCTGTGGATCTCCTGGTGG